TTTTTCCACATGTTTCACACATATAGGGCTTCTCACCAGTGTGGGTCCTTGTATGAATCGTTAACTGACTTTTTAAAGTAAAACTTTTATCACAGGTTTTGCATGTGTAGGGCTTCTCACCAGTGTGAAATCTTACGTGGGTCACTAACTGATTATGCTGTGTAAAACTTTTACCACATATTTTGCACATATGGGGCTTCTCACCAGTGTGGATTCTAATGTGGTAAATTAAATTGCTCTGTCTAGCAAAGCGTTTACCGCAGAACTTACAGGAATGTGGCCTCTGACCTGTGTGGGTTCTGGTATGAACTATAAGGTCCCAACTTCTCACAAACAATTTACCACAATCCTTACAAGAAAAGGGCTTCTCACCAGTGTGGATTCGTCTATGCTCCGTCATTTGATGATTACGCCTAAAGCCTTTTCCACAAACATCACATTTTACAGGTTTTCCATCCGCATTAGGCTCAAACCGACTTCCTGAAACAGAAAAGTTTATCACATCCTTACTTTGGCTTCTGTCAGGATGGTTCTTGGGGTTCAGTTTTCTGCCTATGGATGTTCCTGCATCTTCCCGGTCTTGGTTCTCAGTATGAGGAAAGTTCTGTGAAGGGAGCTGGTCCCAGTTTTGTTCTGGCTGCCAGTGGACTTTATCCTCAAAGTCAACTGTCACCATGAAGGTCTCAGCCTCCAGCTTCAAAACGTGATTCTCCTCATCCCGAGTGATACCAAGTTCCTCTTGTTCCTCTTTCATATGTGGAGGTTCTGGTTCTTCTTGTTCCTTTTTCATCAGTAGAGATTCTGATTCCTCTCGTTCCTTTTTCATCTGTACAAGTTCAATTTTTTCCATTCGTGATTCTGGTTCCTTTACGAATGTGTCTGGTTCTTCCTCTTGGGGTTTAGGTTCCTCCTGTTCTGCTTTCAGCCGTGAAGATTCTGTTTTTTTCACTTGAGATTCTGGTTCTAAACTTGGATGGTCAGGTTCCTCTTGTTCCTCTTTAATCTGTGAATGTTCCGTTTTCTCCAGGCCTTCTATTTTCTGCAGTTGTGGATTTCTCAGGGAACCAGGGTTCTGCTCCTGGTTCCTGAGCTTCTGCTCAGTGAGAAGCTCCTCCTCCTCCTTCCAGACATATTGCCATGGGATTTCTGGACAAACAGAAAAAGAAAATATTTTCAGTGGACATAGAAATTACCCGAGTACCTTTCCACTGCTTTTTTTTACTTTCACATGCTTCACATGTAAGATTCTTAATGCATTATTTGTCTAAAAAATAATGTTCGTTACATCAATCATTTTAATCTGATCTGCAACTTCATCAAAGTCAGCAGAGAAGTACGGTGGGTTTTTTTTTTGGTCAATGTACCATCATGGTTTGGTGCCAGAGAGCCTACAAATGTTGACAGAAAAATTTGACTGATTATAGTCTATTCCCAAAATAATCATCACCATTTTTTGTGTTCTATACACTTTGAGTTTGATGAGACCTTGAATGGAGGCTGTAAATTGGCAACAAGATGATTTTGGTGAACCATCAGACAGGGAAGCAGTACTTGACCTACTGCGTGTATAGTGGAGGTTAAATGTTGTTGACCTGAACCAGTGATGTTGCGCAATGGAAAGAACAGAGAAGACCTTCCAAATTTACCAGCCCACCTTCAATGGAGGAATCTGTGTCAGGGGTCTTTGGGGTTGGTTCTTCCATACCTACATCTAAGGATTACGAGGTAGCTTTTGTACTGGAAGATATTTGCCCTGCACTCCTCAAAGTTCTGGATGTTGCTGGGCTGTCTTGGTTGACATGCTTTTGCAACATACCAAGGACATTAAGAGTAAAGCAACTAGACTGGCAGGCCGAGTTGGTCATCCCCTTATTTAAAAAGATGTGTTCCAATTACAGAGGAATCACTGTACTTAGCCTCCCCAAAGTCTATTTTATGGGTACTGGAGAAGACAGCTCGGTCAATGGTGGAACCTTAGTTTCAGGTGGAATGATGCAATTTCCATACCAGATCTGAAACATTGGACCAGCTCTTTATGTATTAACCTTTATTTAACTAGGACAATCTTATTGAGATCGCAAATCTCTTTTGCAAGGGAGTTCCGGGCCTGAAGGCAGCCCAACAGACATGTTTTTGGACAGTGGGAGGAAAGACAAAACATTCAAATGGACAAGAGTGTAGCTGACGGGTTAGCTCCTCAGTAGTGTAAGACACCGAGGTCTGCTCCATCTTTTTAGAGTTAAAAACATGAGTAAAATGAGCAGCAGTGGAGCAATTAAAAGCCCGGCCGTGCTGAGCAGGAGCCCATGGTTTAGATGAGCGACAGAGGGAGGAGAAAACAAACAAAACAGGCATGTGGTCTGAAAACACGGCGTCACCGATTTCAAGATTACAAACAGAAACATCATGTGATAACACCAGGTCTAATGTGTGTCCATGTTCCTGGCTGGGACCATTTACCTGCCGAGTTAAATTACAAGAGTCCAATAAATGTCAAAAGTCCTTCACTAGGCTTCTCATGGCAACAAACATGAATATTAAAATCCATAATAATTAAAATCTGGTCATATTTTGGTGTGAGTGATTGCAGATTAAGCCATTACTATGCTGTTCACCAATGTTCCATCTAAGCTGCGCGTGTGCAATCACGCACTGCTCGCACATTCTCTGTGCACAAGAAGAGCGCAGCACCACCTTTCTAAAATGCGTTCAGAGTGGAGGAGAAAACTCCCCCCGCCCCGGTCAAACAGACCCATGTCACGTGATTTGTCTAGTGAAAACTGAAGTTTACGAAGAGGTAAAAAATTCAACCAATGAAATTACAGACAAGCTTTCATTCCAGCCAATCAGCGTCTTGTGGAGTTCCAGCACTACGTGTGAAAGAGATAAGTAGCTACAAGCAACCTTGTGTTGCGAGTGCTTTTCCAAGCTTTATACTGCGTATTTCATCGCATACCAAGGAATATTTGACGTTGTGGATTTATCACAGAAGTTTACGGTCGTACGACGTCAAACAAAGGCGGTAAGTAAGCTAATCCCATGACTTGTAGCCGTTTTTAATTATGCTAAGTGTTAGCAAACAGTAGTGCTCGGTGGTCATCTGGATGGTCAAAGGAAAAGTTTACAAGACAGTGGTGAGACCAGCTGATCCGGAGACAGTGGCATTGACAAAAAAGACCTGAGAAAGAACCGGAAGTGGCAGAAATGAAGATGTTGAGGTTCTCATTAGGAATAAGAGCTGATAGAGATCTGTATTCTACCAGATAACCACTTTAATGCTGTGTCTGATGTAAAATCAGAGTTGTCAAAGTTAACCATAACGGTTTTTTTTTTGGTTGAAAACTGTATAAATGGTGTTAAAGTCTATTTTCTTCGAGAGCTAACTAGCGAAGCTACAAGCTAACTACAGCCGGGTTGCCGTATTCGAACGCACGAGCAAAACGCTGCGTTCATCAAAAGTTCAAGTAAGTGTTGGTCAGCTTGAGAGTGCATTTGTGCTGAATAAAAAGGGTTAAACCTGCTCTCTGATCTGTAAAAGAACCACGTGTTGTGATTTAAAGTTCCAGTTTTTAAAATAAATGCTGGCAAAATGACACCCTATGCTTTTTTTTTTTTCATTCCTTGTTGCAAGTTTTATACCAAAACATATGATATATATTGTTACCACCACCCATCACAATAGAGGACGGGATATTAATTTTATGCCATATCACACATTCCTATCAGGAATGAGATCATCAGAGGTACAGCACAGTTGAACAACTGGGAGACACAGTTAGAGAGGACACACTGAGATGGTCTGGACATGTCCAGAGGAGGGACAGAGGTTTGGACAGGTCCAGAGGAGGGACAGTGGTTTGGACAGGTCCAGAGGAGGGACAGTGGTTTGGACATGTCCAGAGGAGGGACAGTGGTTTGGACATGTCCAAAGGAGGGACAGTGGTTTGGACATGTCCAGAGGAGGGACAGTGGGTATATTGGTAGAAGGATGTTAGAAATGTAGCTGCAGGAAAAAGACAAAGAGGAGATAGATGGATGCAGTTAGAGAGGACATGGAGGTAGTTGGAGTGAGGACAGAGGACACAGAGGACAGAGTGAGGACAGAGGACACAGAGGACAGAGTGAGGACAGAGGACACAGAGGGATGCTCAGATGCTGAGGGAGCTTGTGTGTTTGCTCAGACACATGAAAAAATTAGAGGGAACATTGTTGTTTACAAGTTTTGATCACGTAGACGACACTTAATGAGACATTGAGTTAACATTTATAAATTAATGTTTGGAACAAAATGACTTCTATAAACCGTGCCGAGTATGAAAACCTGGAAAACTGTTTGGTTTGACACAATAAAACGTTTTCTTCAACATTTTATGAAAACCTACATATTTACATTTCAAGCTTATAAAGTTAAGCATAGTGATTAATCAAATTAAATTTTTAATAGATTGACAGCCCAAAACTCTACCTATCTATCTATCTATCTATCTGTCTGTCTGTCTGTCTGTCTGTCTGTCTGTCTGTCTGTCTGTCTGT